GGCCACTGACAGAGCAGGGGTTGGCAACCAGTATAAACAAGAAGGGACCATTTTTTTTCTTCCGAATTTGGTCAAGAACTCTATTTCGAGAGAGGCGCAATCCACGTGGTGTATATGACACGGAGGTCCTTAATAGATTACTGTCACGAGTAAAGAGCCGCACGCGGCTCAAGAGCCACAGCTTGCCGACCCTTGGTCCGTAGTAATCCGTGTGCAGCCCTTTGTCCATCCACTGCTGGATGGACGACTGCCCACGCCTTGCCGCTCACGGTGTAGGCTTGGCCATACTTCACTCCGTAGGCTTCGCCCATGAGAGCTTTGATTTGTTCTGTCTGCTCGTCACTTGGCCTGCGATGCTATTTGGGCCGTGGTCTCCGTGCAGTGCCCTCTCTCCGCTTCTCTCTCTCTCTCTCCGCCCCACTGTCTCTGTCCGCTCCTCTCTCTGTCCATCACCGCGTTTCTCATCTGACAGCTTCCGCCCCGTCCAGTGTTTGATGACCGTGTTTTGTGACACAAAAGGCAAAGGCCCCCCCCCCCATATAGCCTGAACATACTATTGGGGCAGGTGCTGTTAGCGAGTAGCGCCTATGAAAGCTGGCACGGCACGCGAGCGAGTGGGTGGCCAACGTTACGCCCAGCCGCCCTGGTCTCCACATTGCTGACGTTTAATGCACACGGCACCAGATATCATTTAAGGGTCGCCGGGTTCATGTTGCAGTGCGCTAACCACTGTGCCACCTGCTCCCCACATCCACACGCGTGGTGTTCGTGGCACGCAAGCAAAGTTGAAGCAAGCTCCTGCTGCCGCCGTATTGTTTGACTGCTGCCATCTGCAAGGTTGCGCACTATTTTTACTCGTGAGGGACGATGCTGTGCGTGCGTGCTTTTTAAGAGAATATGTAAGAGTTTATACACTATATGCTAAAGTAAGTTATAGCTGTTGAGGATGCTGCCACTGTGGTGGTGTAACGTTTGGCAACGTCACTGGACTCGCAATCCACAGCGCAACGGTTCGACTCCACCTCCCGGCGCAGTAGTAGTAGAGAGACACCTGTGTCCACGCAGCAGCAGCAGCAGCAGCAGGATCCATGGGGAGGACACCACAGCAGGGCGCGTGTGGTGCGGTAACGTGTGGCTGCTTCCGTCTCTTACAAGATGCCTGGCCAGCATGGAAGAGTAGGCCAAATATTCCCCCTCCCCCCCTTCCAGAGGTGACTAGACTCGAGAGAGCTTCCACTAGGTGAGGCACTTCCGCCAGCAGTGATGCGAGCAATTGCAGGGCTGCGCCTTTACCTGTTTTACCTAGCAAATGTTTTGATGTTATTCACCGTGCGGGTTTTACACTTATATATTTGGGACTTTTGTGCCATGCTATTTTACCTTAAACTGTATTCGTAGTTTATATTCGTAGTTTACACCTGTCGGGGATTGTAATTGGTGCAAAATGAGATGGTGGGAGCGCGATTGTGGTTTGTGTGTTTACGCAAAGCGTGAACCACAAGCGGATCTCAAGTTGGTGTACAGATTGAGCAGTGGTGCAGACCACCCAAGACAAAAGACTGTTCGGGCAAGTGCTGTTATCAACCACCTATGAAGGCCGGCACGGCACACGAGGCTTGTGCAGTCAGCACCACGCCCCGGGCCACCCTTTGCCTCCCGAGTTGCGATGTTTACACACCGCACCAGATACTCATTTGAGAAAGTCGACCCAGGGGAGGGAGGCCTAGGACCGGGCTCGGATATCCGTCACTGATGTTGGTGGTGAGCCGGAATCGGACTCGGGTCGCCGAGTTCCTATCGCAGTGCGCTAACCACTGTGCCACCGCTCCCCACACACGCGCCTGTTCACAACACGTATGCACGCGTGTGTTTAATGCAGTGCACGCAAGTGGTTGCTGGTGTTGGGTTTTACTGCTGCCATGCACAAGATCGCACGAGTGTTTTTTTTTTATTCACGAGGGACAATCCTGTACGAGTGTGCTTTTCAAAATATAAAGTTTATACACTATATTCTAAAGTAAGTTATGCTGATGAGAATGCTGCCACTGTGGTGGTGTAACGTTTAGAAGCGTCACTGGACTCGCAATCCACAGCCCAACGGTTCGACTCCACCTCCCCGGCGCAGCAGTAGAGAGACACCTGTGTCCACGTAGCAGCAGCAGCAGCAGGATCCATGGGGAGGACACCACAGCAGGGCGCGTGTGGTGCGGTAAAGTGTGGGTGCTTCCGGCTCTTACAAGATGCCTGGCCAGCAGGGAAGAGTAGGCCAAATATCCCTCCGGAGGTAACTCTCGACTCGAGAGAGCTACTGCTTAGGTGAGGCGCTTCCACAAGCAGTGACGTGAGCGAGCAATTTCAGGGATGCGCCTTTACCTGTTTTACTGAGCAACGTTATGATGTTATACACCGTGCGAGTTTTACACTTATATTTTTGGGACTTGTGCCATGCTATTTTACCTTAAAATGTATTCATAGTTTATACTCTGTTGGGAATTGTAATTGGTGCAAAAGGAGGCTGTTCGGAATGTGGTTGGTGTGTTTACACAAAGCGTGCGTTTTCAGGTGGTGGGAGTGGGTGAATGGAAACCTTGGTTCATTAACAAAACCGATGTTACAACAATGAAGGTGCTGTGATTTGACGAACATTAAACCTGGGGATCTTTGGAGATGTCACTGCCGCTGTTTCATTTGATGGTTAACCGAGAGCCTTCTATCAGTCCACAGCTGCATGAAGGCCTCCACTCATCGCGTGGTTCCTAGAGTTTGTATGACCATACTTCACCACCCTGGTGAGTATGGGTTGGTCAAGGAGGGAGGGACCGGTTCGGGGATCTCACCTCGCCACTCGGTTGGCCGAGGGTGGGAATTGAACTCGGGTGACCCAGTGTCATGGTGCTTTTCGCTAACCACTGCGCCACCACTCCAACCCACAAATGCGTAAACGAATAAAGGAATATGAAGTTGGTGCAGACCACCTAATACAAAGATTCCTCGAATGGCCACTAGAGAGATAAAGGCGGCCGGGCGTGGTGCTGGCCACCCACCCCCTTGTGTGCCGTGCCGGCCTTCACAGGTGCTGGTCGCTAACAGCACTTGCCCCAGCAGTCTGTTAAGGCTACACGGGGGGTCTCTTTGGGGAGCTGTAGGGTAGCGGTTAGCGCGCTGCGCTACAAAACCAGCGACCCAAGTTCGATTCCTGCTCACGGTCACCAACACCAGTGACGATTACATCTATAGACTAGTCCTGGGGCTCACCTAGGTTGACTCGGCCTATCGAGGCGGTATAGACACCACTACAGTCGTGGCAACATACAGTATTAGGCTCATTCTTGGTTCTTTCGGTAAAGTCACATACAAATTTAAAACAATAAGATTGTCACGACGTTTCGACTGCAACAAGCAATCATCATCAGGTGTGAAAACCACAGCAAGAAATTTTGAAAAAAGTTGCGGTTTTAGCTTAACGTTAGCACCACGGACAGCGATTTTGCAGTTGTGTTGCAGTCGAAACGTGAGAATTTTAGTGTTTTATATTTCTATTATTTTATTGTTTCCCTTCTACGTGACTTTACCGAAAGAGCCAAGAATATGAATCCCTGCAGTCACGAAATGTTTAAATCAAAATGTATTAGGCTCGTTAATTGTGGGGAAAATCCAACGGGATGTCAAGTAAAGTAACGTTCCCATCCAGCCACTAGACACCGCTACACTCGCCACCAAGTAAAAATACCGTAATCGATAACTGAATGGAATCCCATCGGTCCGCATTGTCAGCAGGCTGTGGGAATTGCATTGAGAGAGACACGGAGAGACAGAGGTCACACGAAGGCGAGATACTTTCATTCACAAACTGTGATGATGGAATGTCAGTGTGGGGCTAGGGGTTAAATAATGATAACGGAGTATGGATAACGGAGTGATGGATAACTTAGTGATGGATAACTTAGTGATGGATAACGGAGTGATGGATAACGGAGTGATTGATAACGGAGTGATTGATAACAGAGTGGTGGATAACGGAGTGATGGATAACGGAGTGATTGATAACTGAGTATGGATAACGGAGTGATGGATAACGGAGTATGGATAAAGGAGTGATGGATAACGGAGTGATTGATAACGAAGTGATTGATAACGGAGTGATTGATAACGGAGTGATTTATAACGGAGTGGTGGCGCTCGGGTGGAATGTGAACTTCCTCAAGCGCGTCGCCAGCGAAGGCGGCTCCCGGCCAGTCAACGATTCGCGAGACTAATTAACATAAAGCTAGCTTCATTAACATATCATTAGCATAAACGTATGCGTACGTCGATAGTAACAGCCAGCATTAGCATAATGTATGCGTATCATTAGCATAATGTATGCGGTGCGTCGATAGTTATAACCATCATTAGCATAATTAATGCATTACCCGCGGTGATATCCCGACTTCCGCGGGTCCCGTCACTTCCAGAAAGAGCGACGCTTGGAAGAAGCGATCGGCCCTTTGGCTATCGCTTATTAATTTTTCACTCGGTATAACAATATATCTTTACATACGCAGTGTGTCTATATCGTCCGATTTCCTTAGAGCGTCCGGCTATCGATCGCTGTTTGGCACTTGCCCTAACGGTCTGTGAAGGCTCTACGAGTCTACGGGGACCGTTGTTTTACAGTCGGAGACGGTGGGGGGGGGGTCACCGTCACTCGTGCTGTGAGGGTCAGCAGTGAGCTGTGTCGGTCATCAGGGACGAGAGTGTCCCTCTCAGTGGGAGGTCACTCCACCGGGGGGAGCTCGGTGACCTGTGGGTGACCGGTGGATGCGCCTAAGGTCGGACGGACACACGTGTGAGTGTACAGGTGAGACACGTGTGTGTGTGTGTACAGGTGAGACACACGTGTGTGTGTGTACAGGTGAGACACACGTGTGTGTGTGTAGGTGAGACTGTGTGTACAGGTGAGACTGTGAGTGTACAGGTGAGGCACGTGTGTGTACAGGTGAGACTGTGTGTAGGTGAGACACGTGTGTGTGTACAGGTGAGACACGTGTGTGTGTACAGGTGAGTGACACAGACAAAGGTACCCGTATAGCCTTAACAAACTGTTGGCGGGAAAGTGCTGTGAGCAAGCACAAGTGAAGGCCGCCTTTGTCTCCCTCGTGGGGATGTTTACTACACACCGCATTCTGTACCCGTTTGAGGCCGAGTCGACCTAGGGGGTGCCCACGACCGGTTCAGATAATCGTCACTGGGTACGTTCATGGCCGAGTGCTCGGTTCGGGAAGTCCCCTCGGCTCACGAAATTCCCAGCGACACGACCAACAACACTCGCTCGGTAAGCAAAGGAGGCGAACCTCACGTTAGCAGAACGTGAACAAACAACTCTCGTAACAACAACAACAACTCACCACCACCACCACCACACGTGGCGCTGGGCTGATCATTCACGGCGGCTCTCTTACCCGGACCCCCTGAGGGGTGGTTAACAACATGAGGTGATTTATAAATGTGTGGAATTATACCATACGTGTGAGTCATGGGGGAATAGTCACGTACGAAGCTGTCGATATTAAATAACTACCGTGACGTTTTAATCCATATGGTAGTCTAGAACGATATTAAATACCTTTCTAAGCTCACTGATGCAACAAATTCCGTCACGCGTGCAGAACGTCCACTGGATGGTTCTATTCGCTTGCAGTTACTAGCTAGTGAGGATATGCCTCACACTTCTTGAGGATAATGAATATACTGTAATTAACAATGTACAGAGTTGCTTAGAGCAGTGATTCTCAACTCGGGAGGTGACACGGACCCCTGGGGTGGACGTGGCAATGTGAGGTGATGATTTATAAATGTGTGAAATGTTACCATACTGGAGAGTCGTTTGTGAATAATCACGTATGAATCTGCCAATATACAATAACTTACCACAACATTTACCGTATTTTCCCGCATATAACCCGCGGGGTATACCACTTTTTACAAACAAAACAAGACCCTGCGGGGTATATGGAGGTGCGGGCTATCTGAAATTTGTTTTACGCAAAACGCTATTTTTGCGGGGTATATGCGTCTGTGGGTTATATGCGGGAAAATACGGTAAATCAATATAGTATCCTAGAACGATATAAAATAGCTTTCCAAACTGATCGCATACAATCTGGTTACCAAGAGTATCCAGCGAGAGCGAACAAATTCCGTCGCGCGTGCAAAGCGTCCGTTGAAATTAGTTTAATTCGCTTGCAGTTAGCTAGTTTGGATACACCTCATGAAATGGACAATTGGTTACAATATTGATGTTCACTATTCACACATTTATTTCTCAGAAGTATGTTGGGTCAGGCAAGGGGGTTACTCGGTTGAAATAAAATTCAACAAGGGGGGAAGAGGTAACCACAAAAGGTCACGTTCCTGGTACGAGTGAACATAGGGGAAGGGAAATGGTGAATGTTGTATACAAATTACTACAACAAAATACATTGTAAAGAACAATGTGTTTTTTTAATTTTCCTTTGACGATGATGATTTGATGACGATGGTGGTGGAGGAATTCAGGAGGATGGATCGCTAGCCCCGCCCAATGTCAGAGCCAGGATTTTCAGGTAGGGGGGGCAACCCCTCCAGCAATGAAACATGATAGAGGAGTTGTTAGTAAGTAAGGAGTTGTTATTCTTAGCTCTTTCGGTAAAGTCACGTTGAAGGGAAACAATAAAATAATAATATATATAAAACAATACAATTCTCACGACGTTTCGACCATAACACAAACGGTCGTCATCAGGTGTGAAAACCAACGGCAAGAAACATTTGAAAGAAGTGGCGGTTTTCGCGTTTATTTATTTATTTAAAATAACAAATAATAATAAAAATACAAACCGCCACTTCTTTCAAATGTTTCTTGCCGTTGGTTTTCACACCTGATGATGACCGTTTGTGTTATGGTCGAAACGTGAGAATTTTATTGTTTTATATATTTTTATTGTTTCCCTTCAACGTGACTTTACCGGCAGAGCTAAGAATATGAATTACTGCAGTCACGAAAGCTTTAAATCAACATTTAAGGAGTTGTTAGTAAGTAAGGACTTGTCCCTTGCTTTTTAATCGACGCGTGTGCGGTGATGGCGCAGCCATCGATCGAGGATCGAATTCGAACCGCGTTGTGTGATCGGCATCGCGCTCGCTGAAGGTGTTGATGCCTTCAGGGAAGTCGTGGACTCTGTATACACAACTGCGAACAATTATGTGAGTCACTTATAACCGCTTTGCCGTTACTTATTGCCAGGACTATTGTCCTCTTATCTCATAGCGTCCCTGGGCACATAATGTTACACAGTGGCAGTCGAAAAATGACGATTTATTAATAATAAACCCCAATGATCCGATCGAAATGAGGGATTTCGATCGGATCATTGGGGGGGAGGCACGTGCCACCCACCCCCTCCCCCCCCCCCCCATGGCTCCGCCAGTGGCCCCGCCGACACTTTCCCCGACTGGATTCGCGATCCTTTTAACGGATCCTCACAGTCGTCGATTCGTGAATACCAAAATGTATTAACGAGTCGAATGTTAAGTACGTGTAAAGTTAAAATGCACAATAGCGGGGTTTACTGCGAAACTGAGGGCAAAGCGCGTAGCCGAGGGTGCGTGACTAAATCTTCGCAGCAGACGGTGGTCTGGCACTTCGTACACTTGCGAGTACTTAAGTCCGGCGTGTCGGGAATCCTCCTCCCCAATCCGCTGCCACCTCTTGCGATCCTGCGATGATGTAAACATTCACCCAATTAAATTCGTTTTTATAAAATAGTATTTCTACCACCAGTTTATTTTTTCATTCCCTGTCTTAGACACCGACAGTAAGCAGTCCATCCATCACCTAGTGTTGGGGAACGGCAGTTAGAAGATGACGTCATAATACATTGCTATTATGACGTCATCTGTCGTGGTTATGAAATCACAATGGACCAGGTATCTAGCAATTGAGCGGGTGTCTCATCAATTAAACGGCGACGTTTGTCCATGAAGCTAGGCTGTGATTCACAATTTATTTGTGGGTCAGATGGCGTGAGTAAGCAAACTGTGTCGTACACCCTCCTCCACCCGACACAGCCAACTAATACAGTTGTCACGTGACGAACGAACGTAGCAGTGTATTACCGCTTCAGCAGCGGTGTCTCGTTGGAGAGCAGTCTCGCGTGACAAGTCCATGAATTGGCGGTGTCGGGTGGAGGAGGGTTTCACGACACAACAATATTACGGCACCTACGCCATCCGACCCGACGACTGACGATGAATCGCAACGTCGGTGGCAAAAGCCTCCTCGTTGAATTCAGCCCGACCCCGTCGAGACGGCCGCCCACCACGTCGCGAGCTTTGCTCGTTGAGCACAGGTGAGTTGCCACGGCCGATGTCTGGGTGATCGTGCCGGCCAGGTGTAAGAATCAACGCGATGTCGTGAGGCCTGTTTAGTCAGGAAAGCCTCGCTGAGCCTCGTGACTCAGGAAGGGCCGACCAGGTTTGGGCTTGATTCAAGAAGTTTCCCTCTGAGGCCTACAGCATAACGACCAGTCTGTGGAAACACAACAGGGTCGTGTAATTTATGAAGATATTTGCTACGCTTTCCGCAATAACGTGTCGAATCTCGGGCTGTTTCTGTCCTTTAGCCTTCAGATTTGGGACGCTCTCTGCCTTTAGAACTGCACCTGGCTACCGGAGCCGCGTGCGGCTCTTTAAAGACTGTTGCTTCTAAAAAAAATAGCTCTTCTGTTATTTTGGTTGCAGACTCCTGGTCTAGGATATATTAGATAAACTGTAGATGCGCGTGTATTTTTGTATTGATTTTACTGTACGGTGCACCTGAAGCCCTTTGCTGCGCCGTATAAAACGTCAATAAATAAATGAATGGACTCGGGGTCGAACGCGACTTTCAAACTCCCTTTCCGTAACCAATCGCACGCGGACACCTGCTTGAGCGTTGTCCCTGCGTAGCGTGAGCAGGAGGCGGCGTGTCGACTGGGCATAGAGCGGCTGCAAGCCCGGTGGGTAACCGAGTGTCCACGGCAGGCCCGTCAACGTGGGCAGGATAAACTCGCGATCCCGTTTGTGTCTTCCTCAGGATGGCTTCCGGCAAAGAGGAAGAGAAATTGACAACGCCCGTGAGTGGACACCAAATGGACCCCCCCCCTCCTCCCCGTTTATCACTTCACCATTTTAAATCCACTGCTGGATGAGGCCCAACCCCGTGGGTTATTTGACCGCACTGCTGAGTGGATGTGGGTCGGTACAAGAGCCGTGTTTTACATGCACCAATGTGACATTCAAACAGAGCGCCCCGTATACATTCAGCGGGCCAATGACCGACTCGGCGTGGGGCCTGGATAGTGCTTGGGCGGGCGACCGCTACCGTGCGCAGGTCGTCATGCCGTGGTGGAGGGCCCTCATCCGGCAGTGGACCCACGGAAAGCGCCGTACACGTTTAATATTCACCACGCCGCTGTTTGCAGGTGTCGCCCGAGCACGACCCAGACAACGAAAACTTCCCCTTACGGAGCGACTCCCCTCCAAACCCGCAGCAACGCGGCACCGTGCTGGGTGAGCATTGCCAAGACAAAGACCCTCCCCATAGCCGGCACAGCACACGAGAGCGGGGTGGGTGACCAACACCGCAACCCGGCCGCCTTTGTCTCCCCAGTGGCGATGTTCACACATCGCACCAAGCACTCATTTGAGGCTGAGTCGACCTAGGGGAGGCCCAGGACCGGTTCAGATAATCGTCACCGGTGTTTGCCATGAGCGGGAATCGAACCCGGGTCGTCAGGTTCGTAGCGCAGCGTAGCGCTAACCGCTACAGCACCGCTCTCACAGGCACCCTCTTGCCATAGCCCACCTCCACGTCACGCAAAGCCACCGTGCGTCATCACAAAGGTCGTCTGCTTCACAGGCCAATAAGGAGCTGGCATTCTATTTTTTATCTTACCAGGTAAAGCCCGCCCACTGAGCTATTAGCTTCTTTTTCAGAAGCAACCACAAATGATAGCTCAACAAAGTGGCTTATCACGTGTAAATTTACAGCATCAATAAAAGACTCTAAACGAGTGATGTTGATTCTAAATATGGAGGAAAAACCCGGAGGAAAATCCACGCAACCATGCAGAGAGAGACACAAACTCCAAATATACATATACAACATGTGTCGGGGTCAGGATCGAACACACGACCTCCTGGATACCAGGCGAGGGAGTTAACATCTCGCCTTTGCTGGCTATTGCAGGCGAATGTGTTCAGAGAACAGACCCAATGTTTAACTCATGTGGGTTGTGAAATTATAGCACGCAAACAGCAGGAAGGCAAGACACCCATCATGCCTTGCGCGCAACGTCATGCTGCCACCGCGTTGCCTGCTCATTGATGGAGCTGGGAGAATTGTAAATGCTGTGTAGCGGTCACATGACATACATGCAAGGGATGATGGGAGTCATGCCTTCCTGCCATTTGTGAGCAGCAGCAGCAGCACACGTTGGTGTGCTGTTATTTGTAATTGTTTCCAGCCCGCACATAGTTTATTCTATTGTGATGATGGGTTTTGTCGTCGCTCACAGAACGGGTTTCCGATCGAGCATGCGGTTTATTGACCCTCAATGTCCATGCTGGCTGCAGCATTCCTGTCGGGTGAGGAGCGCGACTTGTACAGCGAGCACAACGTCAGATTCTGGATGAGCTCGGGAACCGCTCCCCACGACAGCCGGGTAACTCGCACAAGGCATCCGCAATCCGTCGGTCGCCCGTCCGCTCACTCACTCTCACCCGCAAATCACTAACTTGCGTAAAGACCACGTGCGGCAACGTCGCCCCCACTGGCAGACTTTACCCATCCGCGAGGCATCGCACCTTCGGGATGCAATTGGGCGATGATGCAAATACCAAATACGGCGCGATTGGGTGTTTGAAAGTTCGTAACCTGGCTAAGAGGATCTCTGTGTTTTTGTTCATGTTTCTTGTGTCAGACTTTCGGGAATATTTTGAAACACCTGGAGGAATTGTTGCCAGGTGCCAGCCGTAAGACGTCCATCATGAAGTTCCTCGCACACGTGGTCCGCATCCAATGTGAGTGCCGGGGCTTGTCGGCGATTTGGGGCCGGTAGGCAGCGTCGGAAGTGCCGGCAATTAATGTGAATAACAGAGGAGGTTTACACGACCTGCATCGTTGTGTTCCACTTCCGCGCCACGAGAACAAGAGAATTGTGGATTGCAGGTGAAGTGTGGATTGCGAGCGCGGCGCGCAAACCGCTACACCGCAAGAGCGGAGCGCTAACCACCACACCGCTACATTGCTACACCGCTACCCCGCTAGGGTGGAGCACTAACCGCCACACCATTAGAACGGAGCCCTAACCATCACACCGCTAACCACCACACTGTTAGAGTGGAGCACTAACTACTACACTGTTAGAGTGGAGCACTAACTACCACACTGTTAGAGTGGTGCACTAACTACTACACTGTTAGAGTGGTGCACTAACTATCACACTGTTAGAGTGGAGCAGTAACTACCACACTGTTAGAGTGGAGCACTAACTACTACACTGTTAGAGTGGTGCACTAACTACTACACTGTTAGAGTGGTGCACTAACTACTACACTGTTAGAGTGGAGCACTAACTACCACACTGTTAGAGTGGTGCACTAACTACCACACTGTTAGAGTGGTGCACTAACTACTACACTGTTAGAGTGGTGCACTAACTACTACACTGTTAGAGTGGTGCACTAACTACTACACTGTTAGAGTGGAGCACTAACTACTACACTGTTAGAGTGGTGCACTAACTACCACACTGTTAGAGTGGTGCACTAACTTCTACACTGTTAGAGTGGTGCACTAACTACTACACTGTTAGAGTGGTGCACTAACTACCACACTGTTAGAGTGGAGCACTAACTACCACACTGTTAGAGTGGTGCACTAACTACCACACTGTTAGAGTGGAGCACTAACTACTACACTGTTAGAGTGGAGCACTAACTACCATACTGTTAGAGTGGAACACTAACTACTACACTGTTAGAGTGGAGCACTAACTACCACACTGTTAGAGTGGAGCACTAACTACTACACTGTTAGAGTGGTGCACTAACTACCACACTGTTAGAGTGGTGCACTAACTTCTACACTGTTAGAGTGGTGCACTAACTACTACACTGTTAGAGTGGTGCACTAACTACCACACTGTTAGAGTGGAGCACTAACTACCACACTGTTAGAGTGGTGCACTAACTACCACACTGTTAGAGTGGAGCACTAACTACTACACTGTTAGAGTGGAGCACTAACTACCACACTGTTAGAGTGGAGCACTAACTACTACACTGTTAGAGTGGTGCACTAACTACTACACTGTTAGAGTGGAGCACTAACTACCACACTGTTAGAGTGGAGCACTAACTACTACACTGTTAGAGTGGAGCACTAACTACTACACTGTTAGAGTGGAACACTAACTACCACACTGTTAGAGTGGAGCACTAACTACTACACTGTTAGAGTGGAGCACTAACTACTACACTGTTAGAGTGGTGCACTAACTACCACACTGTTAGAGTGGTGCACTAACTACTACACCCTTAGAGTGGAGCACTAACTACTACACTGTTACAGTGGTGCACTAACTACTACACTGTTAGAGTGGTGCACTAACTACCACACTGTTAGAGTGGTGCACTAACTACCACACTGTTAGAGTGGAGCACTAACTACCACACTGTTAGAGTGGAGCACTAACTACTACACTGTTAGAGTGGTGCACTAACTACCACACCGTTAGAGTGGAGCACTAACTACGACACTGTTAGAGTGGTGCACTAACTACCACAATGTTAGAGTGGAGCACTAACTACTACACTGTTAGAGTGGAGCACTAACTACTACACTGTTAGAGTGGAGGACTAACTACTACACTGTTAGAGTGGCGCACTAACTACCACACTGTTAGAGTGGAGCACTAACTTCTACACTGTTAGAGTGGAGCACTAACTACCACACTGTTAGAGTGGTGCACTAACTACAACACTGTTAGAGTGGTCTACTAACTACTACACTGTTAGAGTGGAGCACTAACTACTACACTGTTAGAGTGGTGCACTAACTACCACACTGTTAGAGTGGAGCACTAACTACTACACTGTTAGAGTGGAGCACTAACTACCACACTGTTAGAGTGGAGCACTAACTTCTACACTGTTAGAGTGGAGCACTATCTACCACACTGTTAGAGTGGTGCACTAACTACAACACTGTTAGAGTGGTGCACTAACTACTACACTGTTAGAGTGGAGCACTAACTACTACACTGTTAGAGTGGTGCACTAACTACTACACTGTTAGAGTGGAGGACTAACTACTACACTGTTAGAGTGGAGCACTAACTACCACACTGTTAGAGTGGAGCACTAACTTCTACACTGTTAGAGTGGAGCACTAACTACCACACTGTTAGAGTGGAGCACTAACTACTACACTGTTAGAGTGGAGCACTAACTACCACACTGTTAGGGTGGAGCACTAACTACTACACTGTTAGATTGGAGGACTAACTACTACACTGTTAGAGTGGAGCACTAACTACCACACTGTTAGAGTGGTGCACTAACTACTACACTGTTAGAGTGGAGGACTAACTACCACACTGTTAGGGTGGAGCACTAACTACCACACTGTTAGGGTGGAGCACTAACTACTACACTGTTAGAGTGGTGCACTAACTACTACACTGTTAGAGTGGAGCACTAACTACCACACTGTTAGAGTGGAGCACTAACTACTACACTGTTAAAGTGGTGCACTAACTACTACACTGTTAGAGTGGAGCACTAACTACTACACTGTTAGAGTGGTGCACTAACTACTATACTATTAGAGTGGAGCACTAACTACTACACTGTTAGAGTGGAGCACTAACTACCACACTGTTAGATTGGAGCACTAACTACTACACTGTTAGAGTGGTGCACTAACTACCACACTGTTAGAGTGGAGCACTAACTACTACACTGTTAGATTGGAGCACTAACTACTACACTGTTAGAGTGGAGGACTAATTACTACACTGTTAGAGTGGAGCACTAACTACCACACTTAGAGTGGTGCACTAACTACCACACTGTTAGAGTGGTGCACTAACTACCACATTGTTAGAGTGGAGCACTAACTACTACACTGTTAGAGTGGAGCACTAACTACCACACTGTTAGAGTGGTGCACTAACTACTACACTGTTAGAGTGGAGCACTAACTACTACACTGTTAGAGTGGAGCACTAACTACTACACTGTTAGAGTGGAGCACTAACTACCACACTGTTAGACTGGTGCACTAACTACCACACTGTTAAAGTGGAGCACTAACTACTATACTATTAGAGTGGAGCACTAACTACTACACTGTAAGAGTGGAGCACTAACTACCACACTGTTAGAGTGGAGCACTAACTTCTACACTGTTAGAGTGGAGCACTATCTACCACACTGTTAGAGTGGTGCACTAACTACAACACTGTTAGAGTGGTGCACTATCTACCACACTGTTAGAGTGGAGCACTAACTACTACACTGTTAGAGTGGAGCACTATCTACCACACTGTTAGAGTGGTGCACTAACTACTACACTGTTAGAGTGGAGGACTAACTACTACACTGTTAGAGTGGTGCACTAACTACTACACTGTTAGAGTGGTGCACTAACTACTACACTGTTAGAGTGGTGCACTAACTACCACACTGTTAAAGTGGAGCACTAACTACTATACTATTAGAGTGGAGCACTAACTACTACACTGTTAGAGTGGAGCACTAACTATCACACTGTTAGAGTGAAGCACTAACTACCACACTATTAGAGTGGAGCACTAACTACTACACTGTTAGAGTGGTGCACTAACTACCACACTGTTAGAGTGGAGCACTAACTACTATACTATTAGAGTGGAGCACTAACTACTACACTGTTAGAGTGGAGCACTAACTACCACACTGTTAGAGTGGAGCACTAACTACTACACTGTAAGAGTGGAGCACTAACTATCACACTGTTAGAGTGAAGCACTAACTACCACACTATTAGAGTGGAGCACTAACTACCACACTGTTAGAGTGGAGCACTAACTACTACACTGTTAGAATGGTGCACTAACTACTACACTGTTAGAGTGGAGCACTAACTACTACACTGTTAGAATGGTGCACTAACTACTACACTGTTAGAGTGGTGCACTAACTACCACACTGTTAGAGTGGAGCACTAACTACCACACTGTTAGAGTGGTGCACTAACTACCACACTGTTAGAGTGGTGCACTAACTACCACACTGTTAGAGTGGTGCACTAACTACTACACTGTTAGAATGGTGCACTAACTACCACACTGTTAGAGTGGAGCACTAACTACTACACTGTTAGATTGGAGGACTAACTACTACACTGTTAGAGTGGAGCACTAACTACCACACTGTTAGAGTGGTGCACTAACTACTACACTGTTAGAGTGGAGGACTAATTACTACACTGTTAGAGTGGAGCACTAACTACCACACTTAGAGTGGTGCACTAACTACCACACTGTTAGAGTGGTGCACTAACTACCACATTGTTAGAGTGGAGCACTAACTACTACACTGTTAGAGTGGAGCACTAACTACCACACTGTTAGAGTGGTGCACTAACTACTACACTGTTAGAGTGGAGCACTAACTACTACACTGTTAGAGTGGAGCACTAACTACTACACTGTTAGAGTGGAGCACTAACTACCACACTGTTAGACTGGTGCACTAACTACCACACTGTTAAAGTGGAGCACTAACTACTATACTATTAGAGTGGAGCACTAACTACTACACTGTAAGAGTGGAGCACTAACTATCACACTGTTAGAGTGGAGCACTAACTTCTACACTGTTAGAGTGGAGCACTATCTACCACACTGTTAGAGTGGTGCACTAACTACAACACTGTTAGAGTGGTGCACTATCTACCACACTGTTAGAGTGGAGCACTAACTACTACACTGTTAGAGTGGAGCACTATCTACCACACTGTTAGAGTGGTGCACTAACTACTACACTGTTAGAGTGGAGGACTAACTACTACACTGTTAGAGTGGTGCACTAACTACTACACTGTTAGAGTGGTGCACTAACTACTACACTGTTAGAGTGGTGCACTAACTACCACACTGTTAAAGTGGAGCACTAACTACTATACTATTAGAGTGGAGCACTAACTACTACACTGTTAGAGTGGAGCACTAACTATCACACTGTTAGAGTGAAGCACTAACTACCACACTATTAGAGTGGAGCACTAACTACTACACTGTTAGAGTGGTGCACTAACTACCACACTGTTAGAGTGGAGCACTAACTACTATACTATTAGAGTGGAGCACTAACTACTACACTGTTAGAGTGGAGCACTAACTACCACACTGTTAGAGTGGAGCACTAACTACTACACTGTAAGAGTGGAGCACTAACTATCACACTGTTAGAGTGAAGCACTAACTACCACACTATTAGAGTGGAGCACTAACTACCACACTGTTAGAGTGGAGCACTAACTACTACACTGTTAGAATGGTGCACTAACTACTACACTGTTAGAGTGGAGCACTAACTACTACACTGTTAGAATGGTGCACTAACTACTACACTGTTAGAGTGGTGCACTAACTACCACACTGTTAGAGTGGAGCACTAACTACCACACTGTTAGAGTGGTGCACTAACTACCACACTGTTAGAGTGGTGCACTAACTACCACACTGTTAGAGTGGTGCACTAACTACTACACTGTTAGAATGGTGCACTAACTACCACACTGTTAGAGTGGTGCACTAACTACCACACTGTTAGAGTGGAGCACTAACTACTACACTGTTAGAGTGGAGCACTAACTACCAAACCATTAAAAGTGGAGCACTAACCGCTACACCGTGTTATAATTGCGCCACTCATTCTGCGTAACGCGTTTGTCATCGCGCCTTCCGCCGTGGCCCCCAGACCACACGGAGAGCATCGTTCGTCTGTCGAGCTTCTGCGACCTGGTGCGCTGGTTCGGGCCCTTCAGGGAAATCGTCTACAATCAGAAGAAGACGTGCGTGTGCCTGTGCAACGTGAGTTCCGCTCGTGCACCCATGTGGGGGTTAGCCGTCGGGCGTGCGACCGAACGGACGGCCCGGTGGGAATTGCGAAATTAGCGACGGAAACATTCGTCAACCAAGCGTGTTTATCTTAGTCAACGATGACCGTGAGTGGATGACAGTTGTCAAGCGTGACGATGACTGCCACTGCCCACTAACACCACCACCACCATTATGCCCATCATCTTCATCACTATCACCATAATAATCACTGTCATCATCACCACAATGAAGACAGACTGAGGTAACTTAGTAACGTTATCGGAGACCTCGGTGGCCTGAGGAAGACCGATGATGCTGACTGGCTGTGTATGCATTGAAAAATATTTACCTGCTTCACTGGCTGGGAAGGAAATTGTGCACCCCTCACCAACATTTAAACTCTCAACGCTGAGGCGAGACTCAACCTCACCACACTAAGACAAGACTCAACCTACCACACTAAGACAAGACTCAACCTCACCACACTAAGACAAGACTCAACCTCACCACACTAAGACAAGACTCAACCTCACCACACTAAGACAAGACTCAACCTCACCACACTAAGACAAGACTAAACCTCACCACACTAAGACAAGACTCAACCTCACCACACTAAGACAAGACTCAACCTCACCACACTAAGACAAGACTCAACCTCACCACACTAAGACAAGACTCAACCTCACCACACTAAGACAAGACTCAACCTCACCACACTAAGACAAGACTCAACCTCACCACACTAAGACAAGACTCAACCTCACCACACTAAGACAAGACTAAACCTCCCACACTAAGACAACACTAAACCTCACCACACTAAGACAAGACTCAACCTCACCACACTAAGACAAGACTCAACCTCACCACACTAAGACAAGACTCAACCTCACCACACTAAGACAAGACTCAACCTCACCACACTAAGACAAGACTCAACCTCACCACACTAAGACAAGACTAAACCTCCCACACTAAGACAACACTAAACCTCACCACACTAAGACAAGACTCAACCTCACCACACTAAGACAAGACTCAACCTCACCACACTAAGACAAGACTCAACCTCACCACACTAAGACAAGACTAAACCTCCCACACTAAGACAACACTAAACCTCACCACACTAAGACAAGACTCAACCTCACCACACTAAGACAAGACTAAACCTCCCACACTAAGACAACACTAAACCTCACCACACTAAGACAAGACTCAACCTCACCACACTAAGACAAGACTCAACCTCACCACACTAAGACAAGACTCAACCTCACCACACTAAGACAAGACTCAACCTCACCACACTAAGACAAGACTCAACCTCACCACACTAAGACAAGACTCAACCTCACCACACTAAGACAAGACTAAACCTCCCACACTAAGACAAGACTAAACCTCACCACACTAAGACAAGACTAAACCTACCATACTAAGACAAGACTAAACCTCACCACACTAAGACAAGTCTAAACCTCCCACACTAAGACAACACTAAACCTCACCACACTAAGACAAGACTCAACCTCACCACACTAAGACAAGACTAAACCTCCCACACTAAGACAAGACTCAACCTCACCACACTAAGACAAGACTCAACCTCACCACACTAAGACAAGACTCAACCTCACCACACTAAGACAAGACTCAACCTCACCACACTAAGACAAGACTCAACCTCACCACACTAAGACAAGACTCAACCTCACCACACTAAGACAAGACTAAACCTCCCACACTAAGACAACACTAAACCTCACCACACTAAGACAAGACTCAACCTCACCACACTAAGACAAGACTCAACCTCACCACACTAAGACAAGACTCAACCTCACCACACTAAGACAAGACTAAACCTCCCACACTAAGACACCACTAAACCTCACCACACTAAGGAACAAGACTCAACCCTCACCACACTAAGACAAGACTAAACCTCCCACACTAAGACAACACTAACCTCACCACACTATAGACAAGACTCAACCTCACCACACTAAGACAAGACTCAACCTCACCACACTAAGACAAGACTCAACCTCACCCACCTAAGGACAACACTAAACCTCACCACCACTAAGACAAGACTAAACCTCCCACACTAAGACAACACTAAACCTCACCACACTAAGACAAGACTCAACCTCACCACACTAAGACAAGACTCAACCTCACCACACTAAGACAAGACTACACCTACCACACTAAGACAGGACTAAACCTCACCACACTAAGACAAGACTCAACCTCACCACAGTAAGACAAGACTCAACCTCACCACACTAAGACAAGACTCAACCTCACCACACTAAGACAAGACTCAACCTCACCACACTAAGACAAGACTCAACCTCACCACACTAAGACAAGACTAAACCTCCCACACTAAGACAAGACTCAACCTCACCACACTAAGACAAAACTAAACCTCCCACACTAAGACAAGACTCAACCTCACCACACTAAGACAAGACTAAACCTCCCACACTAAGACAAGACTAAACCTCACCACACTAAGACAAGACTAAACCTACCATACTAAGACAAGACTAAACCTCACCACACTAAGACAAGACTAAACCTCCCACACTAAGACAACACTAAACCTCACCACACTAAGACAAGACTCAACCTCACCACACTAAGACAAGACTAAACCTCCCACACTAAGACAAGACTAAACCTACCATACTAAGACAAGACTCAACCTCACCACACTAAGACAAGACTCAACCTCACCACACTAAGACAAGACTAAACCTCCCACACTAAGACAAGACTCAACCTCACCACACTAAGACAAGACTAAACCTCCCACACTAAGACAAGACTCAACCTCACCACACTAAGACAAGACTCAACCTCACCACACTAAGACAAGACTAAACCTCCCACACTAAGACAAGACTCAACCTCCCACACTAAGACAAGACTCAACCTCACCACACTAAGACAAGACTAAACCTCCCACACTAAGACAACACTAAACCTCACCACACTAAGACAACACTAAACCTCACCACACTAAGACAAGACTCAACCTCCCACACTAAGACAAGACTCAACCTCACCACACTAAGACAACACTAAACCTCACCACACTAAGACAAGACTCAACCTCCACACATTAAGACAAGACTCAACCTCATCACACTAAGACAAGACTAAACCTACCACACTAAGACAAGACTAAACCTCACTACACTAAGACAACACTAAACCTCACCACACTAAGACAACACTAAACCTCACCACACTAAGACAAGACTCAACCTCCACACACTAAGACAAGACTCAACCTCACCACACTAAGACAAGACTAAACCTACCACACTAAGACAAGACTAAACCTACCATACTAAGACAAGACTAAACCTCACCACACTAAGACAAGACTCAACCTCACCACACTAAGACAAGACTAAACCTACCACACTAAGACAAGACTCAACCTCACCACACTAAGACAACACTAAACCTCACCACACTAAGACAACACTAAACCTCACCACACTAAGACAAGACTCAACCTCCACACACTAAGACAAGACTCAACCTCACCACACTAAGACAAGACTAAACCTACCACACTAAGACAAGACTAAACCTACCATACTAAGACAAGACTAAACCTCACCACACTAAGACAAGACTCAACCTCACCACACTAAGACAAGACTCAACCTACCACACTAAGACAAGACTCAACCTCACCACACTAAGACAAGACTCAACCTCACCACACTAAGACAACACTAAACCTCACCACACTAAGACAAGACTAAACCTACCACACTAAGACAAGACTAAACCTACCACACTAAGACAAGACTCAACCTCACCACACTAAGACAAGACTCAACCTCACCACAGTAAGACAAGACTCAACCTCACCACACTAAGACAAGACTAAACCTACCACACTAAGACAAGACTAAACCTACCATACTAAGACAAGACTAAACCTCACCACACTAAGACAAGACTCAACCTCACCACACTAAGACAAGACTCAACCTACCACACTAAGACAAGACTCAACCTCACCACACTAAGACAAGACTCAACCTCACCACACTAAGACAACACTAAACCTCACCACACTAAGACAAGACTAAACCTACCACACTAAGACAAGACTAACCTACCACACTAAGACAAGACTCAACCTCACCACACTAAGACAAGACTCAACCTCACCACAGTAAGACAAGACTCAACCTCACCACACTAAGACAAGACTAAACCTACCACACTAAGACAAGACTAAACCTACCATACTAAGACAAGACTAAACCTCACCACACTAAGACAAGACTCAACCTCACCACACTAAGACAAGACTCAACCTACCACACTAAGACAAGACTCAACCTCACCACACTAAGACAAGACTCAACCTCACCACACTAAGACAACACTAAACCTCACCACACTAAGACAAGACTAAACCTACCACACTAAGACAAGACTAAACCTACCACACTAAGACAAGACTAAACCTACCACACTAAGACAAGACTCAACCTCACCACACTAAGACAAGACTAAACCTCACCACACTAAGACAAGACTAAACCTCACCACACTAAGACAAGACTAAACCTCACCACACTAAGACAAGACTAAACCTCCCACACTAAGACAAGTCTAAACCTCCCACACTAAGACAACACTAAACCTCACCACACTAAGACAAGACTCAACCTCACCACACTAAGACAAGACTCAACCTACCACACTAAGACAAGACTCAACCTACCACACTAAGACAAGACTCAACCTACCACACTAAGACAAGTCTAAACCTCCCACACTAAGACAACACTAAACCTCACCACACTAAGACAAGACTCAACCTCACCACACTAAGACAAGACTCAACCTCACCACACTAAGACAAGACTCAACCTCACCACACTAAGACAAGACTCAACCTCACCACACTAAGACAAGACTCAACCTCACCACAGTAAGACAAGACTCAACCTCACCACACTAAGACAAGACTAAACCTCCCACACTAAGACAACACTAAACCTCACCACACTAAGACAAGACTCAACCTCACCACACTAAGACAAGACTAAACCTCACCACAGTAAGACAAGACTCAACCTCACCACACTAAGACAAGACTAAACCTCACCACACTAAGACAAGACTCAACCTCACCACAGTAAGACAAGACTCAACCTCACCACACTAAGACAAGACTCAACCTCACCACAGTAAGACAAGACTCAACCTCACCACACTAAGACAAGACTCAACCTCACCACAGTAAGACAAGACTCAACCTCACCACACTAAGACAAGACTAAACCTACCACACTAAGACAAGACTAAACCTCCCTCACTAAGACAAGTCTAAACCTCCCACACTAAGACAACACTAAACCTCACCACACTAAGACAAGACTCAACCTCACCACACTAAGACAAGACTCAACCTCACCACACTAAGACAAGACTAAACCTACCACACTAAGACAAGACTCAACCTCACCACACTAAGACAAGACTAAACCTACCACACTAAGACAAGACTAAACCTCCCACACTAAGACAAGACTAAACCTCCACACACTAAGACAGGACTAAACCTACCCACACTAAGACAAGACTAAACCTACCACACTAAGACAAGACTAAACCTCCCACACTAAGACAAAACTACACCTACCCACACTAAGACAAGACTAAACCTCCCACACTAAGACAAGACTAAACCTCCCCACACTAAGACAAGACTAAACCTCCCCACACTAAGACAAGACTAAACCTCCCACACTAAGACAAAACTAAACCTCCCCACACTAAGACAAGACTAAACCTACCACACTAAGACAAGACTAAACCTCCCACACAAAGACAAGACTAAACCTCCCACACTAAGACAAGACTAAACCTCCCACACTAAGACAAAACTAAACCTCCCCACACTAAGACAAGACTAAACCTCCCACACTAAGACAAAACTAAACCTCACCACACTAAGACAAGACTAAACCTACTCATGCTAAGACAAGACTAAACCTCCCACACTAAGACAAAACTAAACCTCCCCACACTAGGACAAGACTAAACCTACCCACACTAAGACAAGACTACACCTCCCACACTAAGACAAGACTAAATCTCCCACACTAAGACTAGACTAAACCTACCCACACTAAGACAAAACTAAACCTCCCACACTAAGACAAGACTAAACCTCCACACACTAAGACAAGACTAAACCTCCCACACTAAGACAGGACTAAACCTCCCACACTAAGACAAGACTAAACCTACCCACACTAAGACAAGACTAAACCTCCCACACTAAGACAAGACTAAACCTCCCACACTAAGACAAAACTACACCTCCCCACACTAAGACAAGACTAAACCTCCCCACACTAAGACAAGACTAAACCTACCCACACTAAGACAACTAAACCTCCCCACACTAAGACAAAACTAAACCTCCCACACTAAGACAAAACTACACCTCCCCACACTAAGACAAGACTAAACCTCCCCACACTAAGACAAGACTAAACCTACCCACACTAAGACAACTAAACCTCCCCACACTAAGACAAAACTAAACCTCCCACACTAAGACAAGACTAAACCTCCCACACTAAGACAAGACTAAACCTACCCACACTAAGACAAGACTAAACCTCCCACACTAAGACAAGACTAAACCTCGACACTAAGACAAGACTAAACCTCCCCACACTAAGACAAGACTAAACCTCCCACACTAAGACAAGACTAAACCTCCCACACTAAGACAAGACTAAACCTCCCACACTAAGACAAGACTAAACCTCCCCACACTAAGACAAGACTAAACCTCCCCACACTAAGACAAGACTAAACCTCCCACACTAAGACAAGACTAAACCTCCCACACTAAGACAAGACTAAACCTCCCACACTAAGACAAAACTACACCTACCCATACTAAGACAAGACTAAACCTCCCACACTAAGACAAGACTAAACCTCACCACACTAAGACAAGACTAAACCTCCCACACTAAGACAAGACTAAACCTCCCCACACTAAGACAACTAAACCTCCCACACTAAGACAAGACTAAACCTCCCACACTATGACAAGACTAAACCTCCCGACACTAAGACAAAACTAAACCTCCCACACTAAGACAAGACTCAACCTCCCACACTAAGACAAGACTAAACCTCCCCACACTAAGACAAAACTACACCTACCCACACTAAGACAAGACTACACCTCCCACACTAAGACAAGACTAAACCTCCCACACTAAGACAAGACTAAACCTCCCACACTAAGACAAGACTAACCTCCCACACTAAGACAAAACTACACCTACCCATACTAAGACAAGACTAAACCTCCCACACTAAGACAAGACTAAACCTCACCACACTAAGACAAGACTAAACCTCCCACACTAAGACAAGACTAAACCTCCCCACACTAAGACAAGACTAAACCTCCCACACTAAGACAAGACTAAACCTCCCACACTAAGACAAGACTAAACCTCCCACACTAAGACAAAACTACACCTACCCATACTAAGACAAGACTAAACCTCCCACACTAAGACAAGACTAAACCTCACCACACTAAGACAAGACTAAACCTCCCACACTAAGACAAGACTAAACCTACCCACACTAAGACAAAACTAAACCTCCCCACACTAAGACAAGACTAAACCTCCCACACTAAGACAAGACTAAACCTCCCACACTAAGACAAGACTAAACCTCCCACACTAAGACAAGACTAAACCTACCCACACTAAGACAAGACTAAACCTCCCACACTAAGACAAGACTAAATCTACCCACACTAAGACAAGACTAAACCTCCCACACTAAGACAAGACTAAACCTCCCACACTAAGACAAGACTAAACCTCCCACACTAAGACAAGACTAAACCTCCCACACTAAGACAAGACTAAACCTCCCACACTAAGACAAGACTAAACCTACCACACTAAGACAAGACTAAACCTCCCCACACTAAGACAAAACTACACCTACCCACACTAAGACAAGACTAAACCTCCCACACTAAGACAAGACTAAACCTACCCACACTAAGACAAGACTAGACCTCCCACACTAAGACAAGACTAAACCTCCCACACTAAGACAAGACTAAACCTCCCCACACTAAGACAAGACTAAACCTCCCACACTAAGACAAGACTAAACCTCCCACACTAAGACAAGACTAAACCTCCCACACTAAGACAAGACTACACCTCCCCACACTAAGACAAGACTAAACCTCCCCACACTAAGACAAGACTAAACCTCCCACATTAAGACAAAACTAAACCTCCCACACTAAGACAAGACTACACCTCCCCACAGTATGACAAGACTAAACCTCCCCACACTAAGACAACACTAAACCTCCCACACTAAGACAAGACTAAACCTCCCCACACTGAGACAAAACTTAACTTCACCAGGCTGAGATTGTAACTAACAAAATCCACACCTATGAACGAAGTGATTTTGTGTTGTCCTCTTGGTGGTGCCTTCCCGCACTAGCTGGAGTTGCTCATGATGGAGTCACAGGTGCTCGTGTCGAAGCAGAAAATGAGGTATGGGCAGAGGAAGGAGCACACAGATCGGAGGTCAGAGGTTAGGGATGCAGAAGCACTGGAGTTGGGCGGCTGAGGGCAAGTGACATGGCCGAGCGGCACCACGTTTGTCACCGTAGTTCATGCCCAGCGGCCGCCCCGGTTAATACCGTTCACCATAAATACTACGCGCCGTCCACTTCACGGTGCACGTTAAAGATTCCGCGACATTTTACGCAAGCACAGGAGGCCGTGTGTGCCAGCGTCGTGGCCCACATTTGCCAAATTAGAGAAATGACGTCGACAATTAAGTGGGAAAAGCCACGTGGCAACATCGCCCTCTACCGTGAAACGACCGCGGACAAATACCGAAGCACGGCCCTCCGTGCTGGCCTCGCGCTGCGCGAGCGGCACAATTACGATGTGCTCATGGTCTGATTGAAATTTCAGTGCCATTAGCCGGCACTCATTTCTTTCATTAATTTGAGGGGTCGCACAATGGACTGTTCATGAAGTACAGGTCACATGTCTGACCACCACGTGTCCGCCCCGAGCGATGAACCACCCCCACCCAGTGCAGTACTTGTACACGCTGGAACTGGCATCGTCCGTAGATGTTCACATATTTGACCTCTTCACAAATCCGACTGTACCCGAGTCCCCAGCGATTAGGATATCGAATACGCGACGTCGTATTGTGCCCCGTGCCATGGGATGTTGCCATCGTGCCACCGTGATCACACTGGATTTGCATTGCAGGGATCGCCCATTCCATTTGATCTCCCGGCGTGCGAGTTAAATCAATGGACACGTTTCTTAGGTCCCACCGCCTCTGTCCACCCAGCGGTATAAATTACTTCGCCATGGTCGGTCGATTGTAAGGCGGCATGTGGTGGGGTAAAGTGTGGGTACTCCTATACCTTTCAAGATTTCTGCCCAGTGTGGAAAAGTATTCCAAAATTCCCCGGTGGAGAGATGTTATCTGCCTTGCCTGGTATACAGGAGGTTGTGGGTTCAATCCCGACCCTGACACCTCTATATTTGGAGATTGCATGCATTTTTATCTGGATCCAGTTTTTCCCTCCACATTTAGAAACATGCGTTTAGAGTATTTGGCTACTATAAATGTGCACGTGATAAGCCACTTCGTTGAGCTATCAATTGTGCCCAGGTCGCTTCTGAAAAATAACTTTCTAGCTCAGTGGGCCTTAACTGGTAATAAAAATGTAAATAAAGTTGAGTTTATTTAAATATTCCCTCTCGAGGGGCTCTCTAGTGCTCCCTCTGGAGTGGACGGTGGAGGTCTCTCCGCCACGCCTTCCGCCAGCGGTGGCACGAGCGAGCAATTGCAGGGGCTGCGCCTTCACCTTTGCGCTTCTGCCACACCTCCTTTCCCCTTAGCTGGTTCGCGGGTCACATGAACAGTGCGGCGGCGGAGGAGAAACTGCGGGGGCGACCTAGCGGCACCTACCTGGTGCGCTTCTCCGAGTCGGAGCGCGAAACGGGCAGCTTCGCGCTGTCCATCGTTGTCGCTGGCGGTGGTGGCACGGAGCACGTGACCATCAAGGTGAGCCGACTCCACCGCCCCACCTCCTCTTCCGCCACGGTGACCAGCGTCCCTCCTACAGCAGACCACCCCCGGCTTGTGGCAGAGGCTCGCGGTTCGAGTACCGCAGCCGCCCTGGTTAACGCTGCCCCGGGCTATTAACGGTTAATGCTGCGCTCTCTGCTTCACAGTGGACGCCACGGTGGCTAGATGTTAACTACCTCACCTGGTATACAGGAAGTCGTGGGTTTATCCCAACCCTGACGCCTGCTGTATATTTGGAGTTTGCGTGTCTTTCTCCTCTCATGGTCGTGTGGATGTTTTCTGGGTCCTCTGTTTTTTCCCTCCACATTTAGAATCAATATTATTCGTTTTGATTATTCGGCTGCTATTAATTTCCACGTGATGAGCCACTAATTTGAGCTATCATTTGTGGCCAGGTCGCTTCTGTAAAAGAGCTATATCGCTCAGTGGGCCTTACCTGATCAAATATTTTTTCTTTTTAAATGTGAAAATTGTCTGCAAAATCATTACAATGATACAAGATAATTAATTAGGCAAAACCCACATCACAACAGAGCCCCCAGATTATCAGACGAATGCCTATTTGTAGGCCGGTGCTGCCTGCAATTTGTGCCACATGGGGACCGCTGCCACGAGGGGTCCCCTTGGCGAGACCGCAGCAGGGCATTGGAATTCTTGCGATGAGAGGTGATGTTGAGTTGCTCGGGAGTTGCCGAGGCATCGGAGCGTCCTCACAAATGCTGTTCCTTATCCTTACCGTAAACATCGGCGTGGGAGTAGTGGTGCAGTGGTTAGCGCAGCTTTGCGATGAGCCCAACGGCCTGGGTTTGATTCCCGGCAGCGACTAACATCGGTGGCCAGTGGTGACATCCGTGCCGGTCCTAGACCCCAACCCCTTCTTCACCAACCCACACCGACCAGTGTGGTGAAGTATGGTTCATAAAAGTTGCCAATGACGGACACAGCGTGGGGAAGCAGTGCACTGACATGCGGTACCGTGCCTGCGTGTTAAGCGGTACTGTGTACGTCTCTGCGATTGTTTCTGCATTAACACTGCTGTGGGCCTCACTAGGGCAGGCACCTCGACCACGGGCTTGCGCACCGCTATGGGATATTTAACGTGGGTTTCACCGCAATGTGTACCGTGGGCTAGTATACCGTGGGCTCACGTACCCTGCGCTAGTGTACCGCGGGCTCGTGCGCTCTGTAATCATTTCCACCGTTGTCTTTCCTGCGAGCCATTCCGCTGATCACTTCATCTCAAGCTCTCTCTCCATTCTATTTCATTCTTGAACGTTCTTTGTTTCACTGGACGCCCCCCCCCCCCCCTTGCTTCCTTGAAGTCGTCAAGCAGCATTTTCCTGTCTCTGCCTCTTGGCCTTTTTGCCAACATTCTTATCTTTCATAACTCAACCATCAGCACACACACCACCAACATGTAGTAGGTGTTCACAACCAATATTGTGATTTTTAACAGATTTTTCTTCTTTCCATACGTAGCCAACCATGCAATTTGGAAGTGCAGGGGGAGAACAACAAACTAAACACAAGCAGCTCACAGGAAATTTGTTTTCAATCTAGATTTAAAAGTGCATAGCTCCAGTGGCTTCCTAATATCGGAAGAAAAAGCATTCCAGATGGCCGCAGAAGCCCATCTGAAATCACGTGATGCAGTGACCATCTATGTTCAATGGTTAGCAAAAAGCCGCTGCGAGGATGATCGGAGTGCGCTTGATGGTTTCCTGAATCTTGCCCTGAAGATGCTTGATGTAGTCTCAAGCCGTTACTACGCCGTGTCTCATCGCTAAATTTGTTTGCATGAGAATTGTTTTCACCACCATAACAATAATAACTGGCGCATCGTTGACCGCTTGTACACCACGTGGCCATCTGATTTGTTTGGCTGTATAGGGTGGTGGAGGCTTTCATGACAGATTTGTCCAGTTCATTTCGTGGCCTAAGCAAAACATCTATTATGAATTATACACATCATCATCAGCCTCATCAAACACAGCATCATTAACATCAACAGCTGTCGTTCGCCACTAAGTGGTGGTGACCTCACCACAGTGCATGTGCCAGGCTAGGTGCACTTTCAGACCATGTTAAGTGTTGGAAGGAGATCACGGGACAGACCCAGGTGCCATGGGTTGACTGACTGAGATGACTGGTAGATGCACCACCTTTGCTCCCCACTGTGTTAACTTTCTGTGTTTTAGCCACTTGGTGTTCCACTCATTGTTGTGAGCATCGCTCCTCTGCCCTCCATTGTTGTTTGTATGTATGTTGAACTTCTTTCGCACCGTACGTAGCCAACCGTGCTAATTGAAGGATTGAGGATATCTGCCTCCAACTGCCCAGTAGCGTCCTTCACTAGCCTCCTGCATCGAGGCCCATCTTGACACTGCTGGTACCAGACATCGACAAATTCACTCAAGTATACAGTACATCCTTCTGTATCACATCAGCCCATCTCTTCTTTAGCCCATGCCGGTTAGCCCCTTCGATCTGGCCAAACAGAAGCTGCTTGGGCATGCGCTGGCTGGTCATTCAGACTACATGACCCGGCCAACACAGCGTCACCTGCTGGAGGAGCTCAACGATGATGGTACTGTGTCCAGACCTGTCAAGGATCTGTGAGCACCTCACACAATCCAGTCTGCAGGTTAAACCCAGGATGCATCGTCGGCAGGCCAGCCTGAATGTTTCAAACCGACGCAGCGTCATCACACGCATCGCGCATCAGCACCGGCATCCTTCCTTCCACAATGTCAATCCGTCAAGCGGTCACCTGTTGAGAATGCGTCCGATCGTTTGCCCTTCCCTCGATTGTTTTCACGAGGCTCCTCTCCTCGGGAAACGCCTCTCCAGAACCTCCCCGCCGCGTTACCCGTTGGTCTCCCCTCCCCGTGCACGCCGTCTCGCTCGCTGGCAGGGCGACCCCAAGATGGTGAACTCGGAGGTGGCGGCGGCGAGAGACGATCCCAACCTGTGGCTGGAGTACTGCGCGGACAGCGACGGGCGCAGGTACCCCAGCCTGCCCGTGCTGATGAACAAGCGGCTCATGGAAGACGCCTTCCACGATGACCACGAGGACACCGCCTGCGAGGCAGCGTGCCCCGACCTGCCGCTCAACGCCATATTCAGGCCCTATCGGAACAATTCCTGAGTTTCCGACGATCAGAGGTTGGGGGAGTTTATATCGCGCGCGGCCACCTGCGTTTGTTTAGAGAGTTTTCCATGTATCAGTTGTAAACGTTCACTTAATCCATCATCAGTTGTAAACGTTCACTTAATCCATCATCAAGTGAGGCTATCCTTAGTCTCCTGAGTTCTCGCCTAATCAAACAAAACAAACCTGAATTGTCTTCTTTGGTTCTTTCGGTAAAGTCACGTAGAATGAGAATAAAATAATAAGTTAATAAAATAAAATAACACTAAAATTCTCACGACGTTTCGGCCACAACACAAGTGGCCTTCTTCAGGTGAAAGGAACAGACCTGTCGGGACGACAGAGCTTCAATGAATGTTGTTACGATTAGTAGCGTCTTTTAAGCTGGTTTAGAGAGGTGAGGCACCTTGACAAAGTGGTTTACATATAAAACAGGAGAATTTAGCATTGAAATAGCTGAGTGATTAGCTTGTGACTGGTCATAGAAATATGTATGTTAAAGTCAAAGCTTACACATCCACAGAGGCACCTAGTACAAATCAAACAGGATAATTTAACATTTATTGTGTTTATTTATTGTGTTATTTTATTTTATTCTCATTCTACGTGACTTTACCGAAAGAACCAAAGAAGATGAATCCTTGCAGCCACGAAAGCTTTAAATCGAAACCTGACTTGATTCTGCCACGCTCACCCTTACCTGAGGTGGTCCTCACCAGCAACGTATGTGCCTCACCCCATGCTACCGCTCCATCACTTGCACTCATTGATCTCTGGCTGTGCCCTCACCAGCTTCATTAGATCCTCACCCAGTCTCACCTTTTCTGGCATTACCTGCATTATTTTCCTGGCATCCCTCAGAACTGGTTACCATCGGGCCTACCTTGCATCGTCTTGCGAATGCAAATTTACACTTACGAACCGAACCGTGGAACTATTTTGTTTTCAGCGGAGCAATCTTCCTCGAGATTTGATGAATCATAACCTCTCGCTGCGTGTGTGTGTGCGGGCATGTGAGTGTGCGAGTGCGCGTGTGTGTGCGTGCGCGCGTATGTGTGTATGTGCGTGTGAGTGTGCATGCACGCGTGTGCGAGTGTGCATGCGCGCGTATGTGCGTGCATGTATGTATGTATCTGCATGTGAGTGTGCATGCACATGTGTTTGTGTGCGTGACCCGTCTGCACAAACGCCACCCTCCCTCAGCATTTCGCAGAGATGATCTCCCAAGCGAAATGCTGAGGGAGGGTGGCATTTGTGCACAGACTGCCCTACATGACATTATAACAACAGTCTGGACCACTGGACGGGTTCCGCAGGATTGGAAGGATGCCCTTGTAGTCCCCCTCTTTAAGAAGGGGGACCGCACAGACTGTAGCAACTACAGGGGTATTTCACTCCTCAGTGTGCTGGGAAAGGTCCTGGCAAGGATTATTCAACATCGCCTTGCCAGGCACACTGAGGAGCCCCAATGTGGTTTCAGGAAAGGGTGGTCCTGCACAGATTCCATATTCTCTGTCCGTTTGCTACAGCAGAGATGTAGGGAATTCCAAAAAGACCTACATCTCTGCTTTATTGACCTAGTCAAGGCCTATGATACCATCAGTAGGCCTGGGCTCTGGGTTGTTCTTCATGCTTTCGTAGTCCCTGACCCTCTGCTCACGATCATTAAGGACCTTCATGATAGTGAGAGGGCCCGGGTAAAACTACGTGGCCGGGAGTTGGAGCCATTCCCTGTTCACCTTGGAGTGCGACAGGGATGTCCTCTGGCTCCAACATTATTTAACATATTTTTCGACCACGTAGTTCGTGAAGTCTTTGATGGCTGTACCAGAAGAATTTCCATCTGGTACAGATACAATGGGAGGCTGATCGATGCCCGGGTGCGGTCAAGAGATGGCTCCCTATTGGTCAACCACGTTATGTATGCCGATGATCTGGTAATTGCCGCTCACTCAGAGGAGGAGTTGGAGATGCTGCTGCTGAAACTGGAGCGTGCTACTAAGAGGTGGGGCCTTACCATCAGCCCCACCAAAACTAAGCACCTGCCTGGGAATTTTGTACCATCGGGCACTCCAACCCCACAACTCCCAATCGGTGATGGGGCAGTTGTGGAGAGAGTGGAGAGTTTCCCATACCTGGGCAGTGTGCTTATGACCGGCTCCAGTTTAACAGCAGAGGTCTCACTCAGAATCAGTCAGGCGGGATTATCTTTTCATCGGTTGCGTAATGCTGTGTGGAAGCTCCGCACGAAGCTTCAAGTCTTCTCGGCCACGGTCATTCCCTCCCTTCTCTACGCTTGCGAAAACGTGGACCCCCCTAATGGAGCATCTTCGCCGATTGGAAACATTTAGGCTGGCCTGCCTACGATCCGTCCTGAGTTTAACCAGGCTGGATTGTGTGAGCTCACAAATCTTTGAAAGATGTGAACAAAGTCCCATCAGTGAGCTCCTCCGGCAGGCAAGGCTGCGTTGGCTGGGCCATGTAGCCCGCATGCCCAGTCACCACATGCCTAAACAGCTTTTGTTTGGCCAGATACAGGGGGCTAAACGGGCGCGGCATGGGCTAGAGAAGAGATGGAGTTATGTTGTACAGGAGGATGTGGAGCTGAGTGGACTTGCCGATGACCGGTACCAGCGGTGTCAAGATCGGCCTCTGTGGAGGAGGCTCGTGAAAGATGCTGCTGGGCAGTTGGAGGCAGTCGCCCTCCAACAACAACGGAGGGCGGAGGAGTGACGCTCACAACAACGAGCGGAGCGCCGGGTGGCTAAAGCACAGCAAGGGGGCACAGTAGGGGGCACAGGTGGTGCATCAGCCAGTCATCTCAGTCAGTCGACCCGTGTCACCTGGGTCTGCCCTGTGACCTGCCAGCGGGCGTTTGACACTTCACGTGGCCTCAAGGTGCACATATTCTGGCACAAGCGTCATGGTGACGTCACTGTCACTTAGTGGCAAATGGCGGTTGTTGTTGTGACCCGCTCACGACCAACACCTGTGATGATTATCTGAATGGGTCCTGGGCCTCCTATAGGTTGGCTCAGCCTCAAATGAGTACCTGGTGTGGTGTGTATACATCCTCACTGGGCAGTCAAAGGCGTCCGGGCGTGGTGGTACTGACCAGCCACCCCCTCGTGTGCCATGGCAGCCTTCATAGACGCTCGCTAACAGCATTTGCCTGTTAAGGTAATAGCACTGTTGTGAATGTGTGTGCACGCATGCCCTGAGTGTGTGTGTGTAATTGTGGGGATTCATTGCGCCTCTTCCGACAAACAAGCCATCATTAGGACTCAAGGTAAATGAAAATTAAACAGATTTTTTTTCTTCCTAGTTATGTTACTTTATGTTTTATTTACTATACAGTATTACAGTATGAAATGCAAATTTACACTGTTTCTTAAAGAGTTTAACAATGCTTCCTTTTTTTAGTTAAGCCGTAACACATTTGATGACACTGACTGTATGTGCATTTAAATACGGCATGTTAGTCTGTTCCGACTTACGAACTGTTCTCCTAAGTCGAGGACTGTCCGGACAGAAATTCAAGTCGGCTATTTTTGAGTTAATTATTTGGTGATACTGCGTTGGGCAGTGGTGCATAAGCACAATTAGCCAAAACTTCAACACGTTCCCCGTACTAGAGGTTTTTGGTTTCGATCGCGTAAATATAAGTGTGTCGTTAACCCGTCACCACCCAACACAGCCAGTTAGTAAGGTTTGTCACGTAAACAAAACGTGCCAATTCGTTACTTATTCAGCACACCGTTGTGTTGGAGAGTAATAATATTGGTCGCGAAAGCCTAGGTGTTAAACTTCAACACGTTCATCAGTAACAGCATTGTGTGGTCTTAACAAGAAATACAACCGGTGACGTTTCGGGCAATGGCCCTTTTTCAGGGCACAGATAGGTTGAGTGACATCTTCCAGCATTTAAGGTCACGGTGTTATTGACGAAGGTCTGGAGTTTTTTTTATCATTTTCAGTGAGCTTTCTACGAAGTATTGGAGGAATTCGCGGCCCAGATAGCTGGGTCTTGAATTAGCATATTAATGTGCATTGTGTTCCATGTTCATGCATTACTGTGATATAATGTACATGCTTGTTGTTGCACTTGTGTGGGTCAGTTTGACCTTGTGGAAGCGTAACGCTGTGTGCACCAAGAGCAGTCAATACGGACCATATTGTAATAACCATTTTTTTCATCAAAGTCCAGTGCAAGGTTTTGTTTTAACCTGTGCGCATAACTGCCTATGAGTGGATTTCATCTTCCTGGCATTCCCCCCCCCCCGCATTTCCGGGATTGAGAAGCCATTAACCCATTGTGACGCAATACAGAAACGGGCCGCGAGCGAATCGCCGAGCATGCAGACAGCCAATCACCAATGGGATTACTCGATCCATGGATCGATTGGCAGTGAATCGACAGCGATTAACCCGCTAATTATGGACCGATAGCGATTAACCTGCATACAATGCAAAGGTATTTTTGATTAGTCATTGGTTTTTTCGGTAAAGTCACGTATGTAGAAATACAATAAAATTATATTTAAAAAAACAATCACGACGTTTCGATCACAACGCAAGCGATCTTCATCAGGTGTCAAGAACAAATCACGGAGGTAAATACAACAAAAAGATGAGAGACGAGAATTCAACAAACCTGAAAAAACATTATGTGAAGCACATCCAGTCAGGCCAACAACACAGACACTTCCTGGCGGACCACGAATTTCAGGAGTGTTAAATTTCGTGTTCAACCTCTGCATTGCACATACCAGCATAGAAAGAGTGAAAAATACGAGGTACACGGTTAGTGTACCTCGTATGTGCAATCCAGAGGTTGAACACAATGAGTAATTTTAACACTCTTCTGAAATTCGTGGTCCGCCAGGAAGTGTCTGTGTTGTTGGCCTGACTGGCTGTGCTTCACATGTTTTTTCAGGTTTGTTGAATTCTCGTCTCTCATCTTTTTTGTTGTATTTACCTCCATGATTTGTTCTTGACACCTGATGAAGATCGCTTGTGTTGTGATCGAAACGTCGTGATTGTTTTGTTTTTAATATAATTTTATTGTATATCTACATACGTGACTTTACCGAAAAAAACCAATGAGTAATTTTATGCAGTCACGAACGCTTTAATACGGTATTTTTGATGTTTGTTATATACAAACCTTGATGTTTATTCTCACATCCGATTTTATATTAAACTCTAGACGATTGTATTCTGATGTCTGTTTTTATCTTCAACTTGATTCTGAGTGCCCGATCTTGTATGAAATTTGATTC